TAATGGTACAGGCAATGCAGTTGTGATTTCCTCTATGGAGAATTCGTAAAAGTGACACGTAGTGGGTTAGTATGTGGTTAATAATGCTGTTTGTTCCACTATAATTTATTGATGCTGAATAGTAATTTCATCAGTCATTACTGTGTGCAATGCTTATAAACTTGGCATCATTACATGGAGAAGGAAACCTTAGGCTGTTCAATGGGCCATAATATTCAGCAAGGGTAAAACTATGTAAAATCATGTGCCAGTCCTTGTCAGCATCAGAGCACAAGTGTGGTTAGAACCATCTCAGCTTAGTATGATGATAAACACATTAAGAAACTTAAGCACATGTTCTTGATGAGCATGATACTCTCCTGGATTGCACAATAAAAAGGAAACAAACCCCATGGGGGAAGTCAGAGTCAGGCCATGCAGGGAAAGGAATTTTTAAAGGCTGTTTCTTGGTTCTCCAGCAGAAAGACTGCTATGAAAACCTATTCACAGGAATATTCATGGTACTTGTGTTGGGACACTTCTTTAAATTTGATATTTATTCTCTGCTACCACTCCATAACCCTATTGGCATAACAAACCTCACCTTCTTTTCAAAAGCATTTTAAGCTGCTTGAGCTGCAAGCATTGCAGGACAGCAGAGAGTTACTACCCCTCCCTCAGAGACTGTTGTGTGCTAGACGATTTTACACTTAATGCCATAACTCTGAAGAAACTACATTTAATGCACTCAGGAAATGAGTAATCCCTGTCAGATCGCAACACGCACACGCACATTGAGTTGTTCTTCTGCAAATGGTGTCATTGTGCTCAGCACATGGATTCAGGAGGTGACACCCATGAATATTGGCCCGGGGGATGGTCTGGCACCTCCCAGAATCTGTCAAAACTTCTAACACCTTGGCAGCATTTTCCCCTGTAACAGATATCTTTCCATCCGTCCTTCTTTCTATCCATCTTTCTTTCTTTTAATTTTCTTTCTTTTTTTTCTTTTTCCTTCATTCTTTCCTTCTTTTTTCCTTCCCCAGTGCCTTGCCTTGCCTAGCCACCTTCCTAATTCAAAGACATCCAACTTCCAAAGTTTATATCTGTGAACAACGTCTTCACATGCACAAATAAAGTCACTTCCAAGCTTTGGCATTTGTAGGAGTTGAGCCTGAAGTGTTAAAGTACAAACACTTTCTGATCAGCCATTCCCTTGACAACAGATGGCCCAATCTATGCTCCAAGATTGTTTTTAACTCTGTCTGACCCAACATAAAACCAAATGTTCATAAACTGCAGTTCTTCATATCCCAAGATGTCCATTTTTGGCTGTAAATCTGGAGCACATGCTGTTATCTGAGATTTGTAACAGTCATGTGCGATACAGAGAGGCACATTAGCTAACTTGGGGGGAATCTGATCAACACAGGCAAATCAGTGCTCCCTCCAACAACTTCAGCTTCTTAGAAACTCTCTCTGCCAGTATTTTCAATGTGATAAAGTTGGGGGTTTTTATTTCCCTGGACGGTACCTCACCTTACACCTTGGGTAAATGTACCAAGCCCAGGACATAAGAATTCTATGCATTAAAGGCCACAGGAATCGCACTGCACTTGGATAGGAAGGGGCTTCTTGTATAACATCAGAATTTGGGTACAAGGTCTGCAAGGATGAATACTGTCTCTTTCCATTGTCATGAGTGTTGCCCCAGTAGTGTTGCTACTAAAATAACATCTTGAACTTAATGAACTATGAGGAATGAAACTGTAGCTGAGATGCCTGGCTGAAACCACTCTTCCCCAGCATTCATTCGACATACTCCTAATGGGTTGTGATCACACACTGTTACTACTAAAGGAATGGGGAGATAGCTGTGGCTGGATGCTTGGCACCCCCTCATTTTGGGTGGAAAAAGGCTGAATTTGCTATCTGTGATAGTCACAAATTCTGTTAATCAAAAGGATGTAAAAGCCAAAAATCACCTTTCTCATAACCTGTGAAACTTTTGACTCAGGCTTCAAAATAAGAAAATAAGAAAATTTGTTTTTAAGGAATCCATAAAATAGACAAACGTTCAGGTTTCATTGATGTGAAAAGAATTCTTTTCACATACATTATTTTTCACATGGCAGGGGGAAGGGGAGCTTCTAATCTGTTTATACTAGGATTAATATTAGGAGTGAGTTAGTTTTTCCAAGGTTCAGCAGAGCATGAGGGGGAAAACAAAACAAAACTTATTTTCAGGAATGTTTACCAATGGGTTCTGGTCATGACTTGTGTTTTGAAACTTGGGAGGCCAGTTTTTGAGCCTCGCTGTTAGTGTTTAACTTTAGGATTAGGAATTATTGAGTTAGGTTCATTAAAATAGCTGGGTTTTGTCCTTCAAAAATGTAAGAAAACATGGTGAAAGCCTTGGAAGCAAGGTCTCATTCTGGGTAACAACAGGCTCATTCAGCTCTAGGCATATGGCTGTCTTTGTTTTAAGAACCTGTGTTAAAATAAGGGTAATGCTCCCCAGTCCAGCAGAATCATCAGCTCTGTTCTCAGGGATTTGCATAGCTTTCAATAATGCTGGTTTAAAGCCTTGAGAAATCTACTGAGATCCCAGAATATTAAAACTACTGTAAGAGTGATGGGGGGGGACTTCTTCCCTATATTTCAATTCTCAGTTTGAAGGGGGTGGAAAACCTCAGCATCACTGAAAGGCAAAGTCTGACAAAGGGTGTCTCTGGACTGAGCTGATGAATAGATGAAGATCATAGAATCGTAGAATCGTAGAATCATAGAATGGTTTTGGTTGGAAAGGACCTTAAGATCATCCAGTTCCAGCCCCCTGCCATGGACAAGAATGCCTTACACTACACCATGTTGCTCAAGGCCCTGTACTATCTGGCCTTGAACACTGCCAGGGATGGAGCATTCACCACTTCTCTGGACAACCTGTGCCAGTGCCTCATTCCTCAGAAAAACTCATGAGGAGAGAATACTCCCAGATGTCAGTCTGAAGCCATCATCCTGGGAATGCAAGAAGATGCCAGAAGTGGTTGTTCTGCTGCAATGGGTTATCCTGCAAAGGGCAGGCTACACTCCCATGCCCTGGCACAGGCACAGGACAAAGGCTCCTTTAGAGCCAAACATCACTCCTTGGGCGTCCAGAATGACTTGCAGCAATATCTGTGGCTTTGTGCTGAGTGAATCATAGGATCTTTGCCTTTCCAACATCAGCAGGACCAGTTCTGCCTTCAGCCACTTTCATGTAACTGAATTCAAAGCAGCTGCCCCATTCTAGCACAAACTAGGACTAGCCCCAACTTGTCCATGTGTGGTTGCACTCACAAATGTCCCATTAATTGAGAACAGTCCCAAGTGGGTTTTCATTTCAAGAAGAGTTTCAGAAGTTTGGGTCACTGCAACTAAAATCATGCTCTTCTCCAGTTTGGGTGTTTTACAGCTCCTCAACTCTTTATTCTAATCTGCAGCACAACCAGCTGACTGGGGCTGGCAGGAAGACAATGAATCCATTTTCCAACAGCTTCCAAGGCTTAAAAATGTGTTTTGGATCTGCTTTGGAGTGAAAACAAAACCTTCTGAATTTCTTCATACAGTGAAGTCATGTCAAAACCGTTTTTGCCTGGGAAGGCTCCGAGATTGACTTTGTGGTGCAGACTGCGAAGACAGCCTCAATATTGCCACTGGATGTCAGGTGGCTGTTACCACTCTGAAAATGGCAGCTTAGCGATGTGTATAGAAACCTGGATGCCTTTAGCTTTGGACACAAGACAAAGTGGTTCTTACTCTGGATGTTTTCTCCCAGTGGGATATCTGCTGTGATTTTTTTCAGGAATAAGAAGGACATGGAGCTGTTGGAACAAGTCCAGAGGAGACCAACAAGATGATCAGGGGACTGGAGCACCTCCTGTATGAAGACAGGTTGAGAAAGTTGAGGCTGTTCAGCCTGGAGAAGGGAAGGCTGCTTGGAGACCTAATAACAGCCTTCCAGGGGTTACAAGGAATGCTGGAGAGGGACTCTTCATCAGTGACTGTAGCGATAGGACAAGGGGTAATGAGTTCAAACTTTAACAGGGGAAGTTCAGATTAGATATAAGGAAGAAGTTCTTTACCTTGAGGGCGATGAGGCACTGGAATGGGTTGCTCAAAGAAGTGGTAAATGCTTCATCCTTGGCAGTGTTCAAGTCCAGATTGGACAGAGCCTTAGGCAACATGGTCTAGGTTTAGGCATCCCTGCCCATGGCAGGGGGTTGGAACTGGGTGATCTTAAGGTCCTTTCCAACCCTAACTATTCTGTGATTCTATGATTCTATAAATGCTACAGTTCTTAATGCTGTACGGTCACCGTGACATTGAATTTCTGTGATAATGAACCATCCACAGGCAAAGAATGTTGGGAGTCTGATTCCTAGCCTCACCTTTCACTTTTACATCAGCTTATTGATGTGGATCTTATCACATTTCTACATTTAGCAGGAGGAGATACTACACTGTACGATAACTTAAAAGAAAAAACAAAAACAAAAAGAAAGAAATTAATTTATCAGTCTTGAAACCGCCTGTTTTTCCTTCCTTGGTTTTTTATTCTTCCAACTGTTCTGCTTCATTTGTTGTTTAAGACAGATAAACTCACTGACAAATGCAAGCTCTGGTCCAGAAAATACCAAACCTAAGTTATTTTTTCCAGGCAGAGCCCCTGACTATGCCTTATTTGCGCTCAGTGGTATATGTCAGCTCTCACATACTTTCAGACCTGCTAGGAATTGCACCAGTGCTGGATTACAACATACTTGATTTTGAAGAAAGGAGAAGATATGCTACTGGAATAATTATTTAAGCCATATCCCTTTGCTGTGTTGAATGGCAGGCTTCCATTCACATGTAGCATATCATGCAGACAAAAAGAAAGACAGAAAAAAACAAAACCAAAGTTTTTTTGCTGTTGAATTACTCTTTTTTTTTTGCATAAAAACCATGATTTCAGCTAGAGAAGGGGCAGAAGAAAATTGTGACGTATATTTATTATCTTTTGAGCACAGAGGTTTCCTGTGAAACACGACCCCATGTATCAGGTGCTGCAAAAGCACAAAGCTTCTCCCTGAAGAACTTTCAGTCTGAATAGAAAACAGTAAGAAAAAGCATGGTTTTAGTGTATATCCTGATTTCACTAATGGAGAAATAAACCAGTGAGAGAGTGGGTGTTTTATCAGAAATATGCCTGGTTGAAAAGAAAACCTCTCTGGGAAGGCAGTCAGATTCAATAACCGCAAGATTATCTTTCTTAGTTATTATCTTTCCAAAAGATTCCACATAATAATTTCTGCCATTCTGGTTGATATCACATTAAATGGAAAAAGCAACCTACTTGTCACATAAATTGCTAGCATAGACCTGTCACCAGTTACCCATAAGGATGCGTTGCCTGTTTTTCATTCTTGATGATATTGTGAGGTTTATGAAGTCCACATGGTTCACTATCCATTACCTCCACAGGTCCATTACTAGATCTTTCTATCTCATATACCAATTATTTCCATAAGTTGCTGTAGAGCTCATCTTATATGCAAGGATAAACTAGCTGTGCAGAGACAGATTTAAACCTGGTACCCAATCAACTGAGCATCAAGGCATTGCCCAAAAAGCTAGCTTTGCAGTAGCCAAACACCAAATGCCCAACAGTCCTTCCACATGTAAGACAGTTATTCTCACACTGCCCATCCATCTTCTTTTTTCCCTATCAAATGAAACTGGACATCTACGATTTCTTGGCCACAGATTGCAGTTTATATTTGAAGAGAGACATTTGTAACAAAGGTGACAGATTCACGTAAGCATCCAGTGAACCCATATTGTCTTCTTCACTGTTTATATTCACTTATTGTGCTCTACTGTTCTCAAATAATTACATAACTAGCCACAGCCATTTCAAACAGCCCTTCAAACAACATCAGCCTCGTGTATAAACACTGGTGCTTTATGCAGTCATTTTGTATGAAATTTGTCTGCAGGACAGCAGTTTGCTGTACCATATTCATTTTGTGAGATGATTCAGGCAGCAGTTAAGACACAAAGTGCTTTTAATTTCCTTGCAAACAGTCTGTCTGCCTTCCCTTGCAATCTGTAACCTAAGATCTAAGAAGGGGTTGCCCAGTATGGGCTGTGTCCCAAGTTCTGGTGATAAATCACTGAGGTGCAAGTAACAGGCACAAACAGATCCCAGGCGTCTGCACCCCTCATTCCATAACTTCAGGCACAAAGTCTTCGATCATTTCTTTCAAACAGGTCCAATTTCAGCTCAAACACCCACTGTTAATGGGTCAGATGCTTCAAGGCTACATGAATATGGTTTTGCACTGAAGCAGCAATAGTTTGTGTCTCATTTTGGGTCATTAGCTTGGGCTCAGCCCTGCCCTAGCCATAAATGAAAGAAGACTGAGTCTGCCTGCAAAACATTGGTGGCTTTCTGTCCTGTGAGGAGCAGTCCCATGCAGTAGAATAAAACAGACCTGAAAACCAGGCTGTTCCAGCAAATGAGCGTCCCAGGTCTCAGAGAGACAAAGTTGCCCCTTTGGGAAAACTTCAGGCATTTTTAAAAGCAGGAATGTGTAGGATGAGTCACCATCAGACTCTCCAGCCAGCTTTTGGGAAGGGAGGGTGATGAAATGGTCCAGTAGAAAAAAGTGTGTCATCCCAGCAAGCCTGTTCACCTCACAAAGTAAGAAATGCCAAGGAGGCAATGAATCCCATCACTATGAGTGATTAGGCACTGTGGGTACGGATTAGCAGAAGGCGTAAGCATCATGTAATTCCAATCTAAGCCCTTTATAAACATTATTATAAAAGAAACCTGAGCTAACATCTTTGGCATGGGGACAGATTCACATCCCTTCACCTTCATCCTCAAGTGGTGCAGCTGTCTCAAAGGGAAGAGGATATTGAACAGTACCAGCCCATATTCTTACTTGAAAGAAAAGCAAGGAAGAAAAAAACCTAGGGAATCATGTTAATTTCTCCCTAGATATGAAGACATGGACGTTTCTGTCTTTTTTCTCATTGGCAGGAGGGGTTGCGGTCTTTCTTCTTTGAAAGAGAGAAAGTTGAAAACCTCTGGGCTGAATAAAGATCATATTTTGGAAGATGTCTCTTTCCCAGTGACACATCCCTTTATTGCACACACACACAGATGCACACGCACACGCAGCCACACGCAACACATGTACACACAGACACACGTTTTCTACTTCATTAAAAAACATTCTGGTAACAATCAAAGGCAGCTCATAAATGTCATATTTCGAAAAGCATAACGCGCGATTCCCTCTTTAGGGCAGTTTTTATGACAAACAGTATGCCGATGTTTGTGTATCATTTCTGGGACTATAAAATAACTTTTTATGGCTCTTAGGCTAATATCTGAAAAGTAGAGTACATTCTCGTACGAAATTCTTTCACAGCATTTAAAGAGTAATATCCCTTGCCAGTCCACCCTCCCTCTCCTCATTCCTCTTTCTGTGCAAAACCATGTGACAAAAAGCAAAATGCTTTTAAGAAACATACCTCTGGCACAGAGCCAACCTCTCTTTTTCTTCTTGTTTTTCGGGAGGGTTTGCCAGTTGAAGCTGACAGATATCTATAGCAAACAGTTAACATATATAAACATGTCAGATATAAAACAAATATACTATGAAAGAAAACAGAGAGCTGGAATGGCTCATGCAGCAAGACAATGCTGGTGCAATTAGCAGGAGCAGGGTGTGGGGTCTTCAGGGTGGGTTTGGTAGGTCTGTCCAAGGTAGAAGTACCTTTCTTCTTCACGCTGTCAAGTTCTGTGGGGATGGCATGGAGAAAAGACAGGCCTCCAGAGTCACAGCCACCATCTGGTATAGATGAAAAGAAAGCATAAGCAGTTATTTGTGGTGACCAGTGAGGTGGTGTGTATGAGAGACATGTGCAGGCATTGGTTTCTGGAAGATGAAGATTGATTAAGCTGGATCATCGCTGAATCGCAACCACTTAAGAGGTTTGATCCTGCAAAGCTTCCATGGGATGCTGAGCCCTCCTCCCTCTGCTCCAGCCAGGCTTTCCTCCTCTGTTTATTATCGCATGGCACTTAATGTGATTATAAATGAATGAGACTGAATTAAATAGAGTTAAGAAAGAACAAACAAGTAGGAGTGTAGTCTGGTGCTGTGTACTGTGAGCAGGCTCATAGCACCCCACCAGTGAAGGGTCACACCAGCATGAGAGTCACCTGTAAGATCATGGGATATTGGCCCTATAAGGATACACAAAGGGGCAAAAATGACCACAGGGTGATGACAAGAGAGGAAGGGAAGTGTGCCCTGCTTTGTTCTGCTCCTGCTCTGTTGCAGTCCCAGGGCCACATCTTTTCCTTGCCCATTGCCTTCTGATGGGCCAGAGGTGTCCACAGGTGCAGATTCATCGTGTTTTGCATTATTGTTATTAGACTGTATGAGGAAAATAACCATTTTAGACTGCCTTTCAAATCAATATGTGGGACTGGCATCATTCGTTCAGGGTGAGCTTTGGTATCCAAAATGTCATGGGACAAATCCAGGCTCCATGTCCAGAGCTGTCCCCTTCTTGGTGGGTCCTATAAAGCAATCTAGCACAGACCAGACACCAGGGTGGCTCCCAGCCATCAAACCCTAACAATAGGTTAAGAATAGACTAAACAGATAATTAAACAGATTAATTCAGCTCTCAGACTAGGAGTGTAATTAAATGCACTCAGATTCTTCAGGCTGGGAAAGACACCGCTGAAGGGGATATGATAGAGATCATGAGTAGGCTGGAAAATATGAATAGAAGATGACTACTGTCTCTTCTAATAGAAGAGCTAGGGGACATCAGATGAAACTTGTTAGTGGCAAGTTCAGAAAAAAAAGCCCCCAAAAACCCAAAAGAAGAGCATTTCTCCCCAGTGTGTAGTTAAAAGAGGGAACTCTGCTATAGGGCTACCAGGCCCATGCATGGAAGAAAAATCAATTAATGGCTATTGAAGACAAAGATGCCTCCCCTGGATAGGGCAGAGCTGATGCTGCCGGGAGCTGGTGAGTGCAGCGGGGGACATTACTGTGTGCTGGCCCTGCTCATACCACAGCATCCCTGTGGGAGACAGGCCAGGTCTGCCTTGGGATGCAGGATTGGAGAGGCTTAGCACCAGCATCTGCATCCCATCAATCACAGTCAAAAAGGCTATTAGCAGCATAGATGCTGTCTGTAGCTGGATGGGAAGGCACCTTCACGTGTTCAGAGTCCTGTAGAAAGTCCAGCCAGCAATACCTGAGCATCCTGGGAGCTGAATCTCTTCAAAACAAGTTAAACTGGGGTAAGGAGGGGGTTTGTCCTTCTGATGCCTCCCAGGGACACAGACCAAACCTTTATTCTTTTGTGAGCAGAAGAAAAGAAGGATTAACAGCAGTGATGGGTGAAATTCAAACACTTTGCAGGTTTCAGTCAATTTGGGTTAAGCCTGAAACAGAGCTGGGTTGGAATTCAGGCAGCACACAGATTTCAGAAAATGCCTTCCATCGAAGTGATCTCCCATGACTCAGCTCACTTTTATTTAATGCAGCAATAAACAAGGATGGAAACAAATGGTTATTACTACAAGAATACTTCAGACGTGATTCACCAGTAATGAAATATTTTGCAGAGAAATATTTTCAATTGTTTTCAATTTTTACAAAAAAGTGATACTTTTTGAATAGCCATTTTTAATTGAATTATTTTCTCGCTTTTCTCATTTCCTTCCTTTCTCTCTCCCTTCCTTCCTTTCTAATTGCTACCTTTTTTCTGCTCATTATTCCCTCAACCTCCTCTGTCTGCAGTTGAAAAAGGGACGAAAAAGATTTCTAAACCCTTACAGAAAACTGCTCTTTATTTAAATCTACTGGAAAAAAATCGAAGAAAGAAATTTAAAGTGTGAAACTGCATGGAAAACAAGGTGGGTTTCTTAAATGCCTTTCTACCTGAAATATGGGTGGAAAAAAACATGCAGAAAAGTACGATGCCTCTACTTTTGCCTTTTTCACTGAAGGAACAGGAGATACAATAGGTCTCATAAAGGGGCAACTGAGACATCATTTGCTAAAGGATATTAGAGGTGTCATGGTCCTCGGTTAGATCTGCTTTTACAGACACACAGGAAGTCTGCAGCAGAAAAGAGATTAAGAGCAAGCCTTAAATGAGTGACCTCTTCCACCCCCAGACCAACCTCTTTCATTTCTTTCTCTTTCCCAAAAGAAAACATGCACTGCTGATGGGGACGGCAAAAGGGAAGGCAACCCCAGAAACTGCTGAGCTGTTCTGGGGACATGAAGCAGACTCTGACACCCAAAGCAGAAGCAGCATTGTAATTTTAATGTTAAAATTACTATTAATATATAAATAAGAAGAAACCTGATTTCCACCAGCTCCAGCCCCACAGTGGGACCCGCTATTACCTGCAGCAGCTCAGACAGTCCCCATGGCAGCAGTGCCTTCATCTCTGGGTCCTTTTCTGGTCCCAGGCTGCCCAGCAACCCCACACCCTGGGGCCAGATCCTGAGCCAGCATATGTCAAGGTGATGCCGATTGACACTGGCTGAAGATTAGTCCCTTGGGATTAACTGCTAACTTTATAGCTCTGGTTTCAAGGTGGGATTTTCCAAAGCTCCTGTTTGGTACATATATGTAACAGAACAGGAGAAATTGCATAGATGGCTTTATCGCCCTCCACGCTATAACATAAACAAGTTCAGTCACATATTTTAATTAATGAGAAAATCACCCTCCAAATAAGAAAAATATCTAGAGAAACTTTCAGTCAGCTCATCAGAGCAGCCCATGCTGGCAATGTGCTGTGAGAGATGCTTGCACTGAGCTCCTTGAGAAGAGGCTTCAACCCCAAGGCAAACATCTGTGGAAGCTTTAGGAGAGCCTCAACCAAGAGAAAAGCCAGCAGCAGACACCTGTAGGTTTCACTTGGGCCAAGGACAAGAGATCCCAGTATCTATTATATGAGAAAGTATTGCTGAACTTCGTGCACTTCATGGATTAGCTGGAAAGCGATTGATGTTCCTGCCTTTTCCAGGTTCATTGTTTTTCTGAAAGCTCCTTTAAGTAAAAAATAAGAGGATGGTGAATTTATAGACAGATGAACTCAGCACCATTTCCAGTAACCTGCCTGGGTCTCAATGCCTCAATCTTAGCAATGTTGGACTGGTAATAGCAGTATTCAGCTGGCTATTTAGCACCTGCAATAAACCAGGATGCCATTCACAATTGCATCTCAATTGCACACAAATTTCTCTGTCTTAATAGTAGCAAGTAATAAGTGTAGGAGATAGCATACAGCTTCTGAGTTATGGCAGCCACAGTCCTGCTCCTAAACATATTGTGCTTGCATGGTTTTTTTTTTGTTTTTCAGGAAAACACTGATTTTGCCTCAGTTCTACAATGAAAATCCACTGCCTTTTAGGACTGAGCTCTGAGTCTCTGGGATCAGAATGTCACTTGGGGCCATCAATGTATAAACTTGTCCACTAGCTCATGGGCAATACTGGCTTAATGTGCTGTAAGAGACTGGGATGGTTCCGAGAGCAAAAAGATGAATGCAAGGGAGATAAGAAGGACATTCAGTCAGGGTGGGACCTCTGGGGCCACCAAGCATGGTCACTTGGACTGCTGAGGAGCAACCATTACCAAGAAACCCTTGAGAAACCGAGCTGACCTCCTCTCCCTGGCGCCAGCCACCGTGCTTGGGCCAAACAATAAAGTGAGCAAGGACACAAGCGTAGATCATGCTGTGCTCCTGTTTACTTTACAAGCAAAGATGTGACCAACTTGTCTCACCACAGCCATGAACTCTGGTTCAGCTGAACTGGAGCCTGCGACAGCTGGAGGAGAGGAAATGAGCTTGCGCGGGTATTCGGCTGCTGGTGTCTCAGCTGAAATTAATGTCAATGGCTGTTGATGCTGCAGGTCATTTCCTGTCTCTCCCATTAAATCTGGAACTTCAGTGCATTCCCCAATGGTAAAGAGAGGTCTGGCCAGCTTTCCAGCCAGCTTTTCAGGCTTAGCGGTGTTCTTGTGAGCACTGCAGGGTAATTGCAAAGCAGGCTGTAACCCACGGCAAGTGGAAGTTCAGAAAACAGATTTACAGAGGTAGGAAAATGTGCAGCTGCTTGTGTGGGGTGTTTCCTATGTAGGAAGTAGCAAATGTCATCTACAGACAGGCAAACAGATATACAAACAAAACTGTTAACTGGAAGTCTTCATGTCAGTGATCATTACAGCAGATTGCTGCAAAAACCAAAGAGTTGTTTCAATGCTATCACCTTAAGGCTAAGCTCATACTTAGGATTATCTTTCAAAGCTGTCATACACCCGTGGACACAGTCACCACTACCTGCAAGGTGAGCCATGCCTCCAATTCACATCTGTAACTCTGGCCTTGATGCACGCATGTTGTCTCAGTGCGAGGAGCACACTGATGGGTGACTGTGGAAGACTCCATGGGGAGCTTGGCTTCATTTTGTAATCCAGCACCCATTTTCCAGGTATGCCTCCTCAGTCAAAACACACGGTCAGCTGAACCAGGACAATGGGAATAACGGCCATGTCCAGAAAACTGGGCAGCTCTAGTCCATTGAAGCAGCAGCTGTCCCCCTAGAATCTCCAAATGCTTCACACATTTAATAAACCCAAGATCTCCATAAGACATAAATAATGCTGGGGCTGGGAGTTCTCTGCAGTAGTACCCTGTGTTGCACAGAAGTTTTCTGCTTGTATGCAGCACAAAGGTGTAGTTTTGGAGTAAAGAAAACCAAGTCTGCATCCCATCACTACCGTAAACATAGAGTGGGCAATTTGTGAGGCACTGAGCAACCACAGGGCTCTTCAATGCCTGCAGATTTACCCAGTTCAGCTGTATTTTCACTCAGCTAGGCTTTCATGCTTCTCCCCACCTTTGCTCCATGCAAATCATTAGCGCATTCTCTTCCCACCCCTACTCTACCCCTTTTCCCTCTCCTTTCCCCTGTTTTCATTGCTCTTCATAACATTTCCTCCATGTTGGAGGAAAGCGCCTGTGGATGTATTCAGAAACCCAGCCTGAGGCACTTAACTAAGGCAGGATCAATCCTGGGGCTCACGAATTTACTGAGGAGAAGCTTTACCATGGTTCAGGTTATAGTTTCTGCTCTCATTTCTCGCAAGGAGCCATTTCTCCCAGATTTCTGCAGAGGACGCCTCAAGAAAGCATCCCCACAAGTTTGGTTCCCAAATTCAGGTAGGGTGAAAACTGCTGCCCTGCAGATTTCAAAGGGAGTTAAGTTTGCCTGGGACTGGGAGGCACTTGTGAAAGCACAGTCCTTTCTGCTGATTCCTTTGTTTGCTGTGCCATGACCATACAATGAAGGCTGGGATCTCTCTGTGCCAGGCACCACATAAAAAAACAGAGGGAGAAAGTTTTCTCACCCTGGAGCTTGCAGTCTAAACAGACAAGTACTGCAGAAGAGTGAGCAGAGTTTGGCTTGCAAATATTATGTTAGCTCCCTGATTTCTTCATGGTTGGTTGGGTGGCAGATGTATTGCTTTCTTTGAATGGTTTAGGAGGGGTATCCATGCACGCCTGGGAGTGGAACAGGATCTTGTCTTTATGGTAAATTTGGCATGAGGAGATGTTCCCAATTAAATCTGGGCATAATCAGATGAGCACTTGCAACCCTAGCAGAAGGATTTCAAACTGAATTGGTTTAATTTGCTATATACAAAGGATTGTGTTCATTGGAAAATGCCTTTATTCCAGAATTAGGGCACCTCTACGTGGACTTTTTCAGGGAGAGCTATTCTTTCTTAAATCCGCCCCTTCCCTTAATCTAAATTAACTTCCCTGGATAGAAAAGTGTGTGTGTATATGTAACACAGAAGGGGCCGGGGGAAAAGCAGGAAGGGATTAGCTGAAAGGAAAAACAAAGGAAGGGGCAAAGATACGGAGGGGAGGGAGATAAATCCGCTAGTGAGAGGGAAGGCAAACGAAAAGCAGCTGGAGGGAAGAGCCCACTGGGCCAGGACCTGGGCAGAGGGATCCATCCCCCAGAGAGACCACAGTACCAGGCAGCCTGGCTGCTGCAGCTGCCCCTGGGCAGGCAGCCCTGGGCAAGGGACTTGGGGACCCCATCAGGCTTTTCTCCATGAAACCCTCAGCATCTGGAGACACCATTTGCTGTGGAGCTCAGCTCTGGAGTTGTTTATTTTCTCTAGGAAAAGGAAGTGTCTCAATTGAAGGCAAACATTTTTTTTTTCTGTATAAGCTGTAAACAACCCCAGCATATTTGATGCACCATTGCATACTGTTGCTTATTGTACTTCTGGAGTCAAAGGCAATGAAGCCAAAAACTCCTTGAAGCTTAAGTTACTAAAACAAAGAAAAAAAGGAGAACCAGTTTCTTTCTTGTTAACCCAAGTTCATCAATACTACTAAATGGGATAACGGAGGGGAAATTCTCACAGTTCTGGACTGCAACAAGCTGGTAGTGCTACACGCAACCTGTATCCCATGAGTAAGAGCCATCCTCTCCCAAATAACACTCTGCCATGGGGCTTTCATGGGGGACATTCAGCTCTGCTCTCATTTTGCAGCGCTGCTGTTGGCCCCGAAGCCTTTCGAGGTCTTGTCACAAATCTGACATCCCAGTGCAGCAAACAGGCTACTGTCTTCAATTCAGCCTCTTCCAATACAGTATACAGCTCCTGCAGCCAAGGGAAGTGAAGAAGGCATCCTACACTTGAGGGTTTAAATCTCTGCTCTGCCACAGGTTTTCCAGGTAACCTTGGCCAAGTCCCTTAGCCTCAGAAAACCTAGACCCCATGTTTACGTGCTGGTGTTAATGCTCCCTTACCTCTTAATGTTGTCTCAAGGAGGTCAGCACTAACAGCCAAGTCCCATGGCAATAAGAGTTGTTCATATTCCTCATGTGGGTCCAGACTGTGATGGCAGCGGTGATATTACATTTCCTGAAATGTGCTCTTTAAAGAAGAAACAGGAAGATGCAGTTCTTGCCCTAGACTGTACCACCTGCACACCCAAGGCTAGACAAACTAAATGAACAATACTGCTTGCCAGATTGTATTTCCTGTGAGCAGGAATTGTGTTTGGTGTGATGCAAAGCACAGCCAAAGTTCAGTTGAAAAAAAAAAAAGAGAGGGAAAGGAATAATAACATTTTATGCATGAATTCACAGAGAACTACAACGAGGCACAAAGTTGTTGAGTGGTTTACACAGCAACAGTGTTGAACACTGAAATATTGAACCCTGAAGTCCAACTCTGACAATCTCATCCTGCTTCCAGTGCTAGCACACACTGTTTTTTCATACTTGCCTGCCGTTGTTATGTGCAAGGACTTTTAGCCAAAGAGCAGAATTTAATCTTATTTTGGGAATGTGGAAGTTTTGCAAAGGAAAGGAACCAAAAAGTTTAAATGGATGAAAGCAATCACCAAGAGAGTTCAAAAAGGAGAGCAAAATGGGAAAGAAAATATCTTTATGCTCATGCATCCAGATCACCTGTAGTCAGTAGTCCAAAGAAGGCAGTGTTTGCTACTGATGGTATGAACAGCTCTGAGGGTGCTAAAAACAGATTAGAAAACACACGTAGCTTCATTTACCCTTCCTTGCTTCCTTCCTTCCTTCCCTCTTTCCTTTCTTCCTTCCTTACTTCCATACATGTTAGTGTACATAGGAATTTTGTGTTCATTCTTTACATCAAGAATCAAGGGTTATTAAGCTGTTGAAAACACTTGAGAGTTAATTTAAATACTAAAGGTGCTGGGAACATGAAGGGTACCAGTCTCCTCCAAGAGCATAGCAGCACCTACTGCTTCCCTCCATGCCTACAGGGTAGGGCAGTCTGGTAGGGTAAGGGAAGGCTACATTCAAATTCCCCCGTCCTCAGAGGATTCCACCATTTGCTCTTACTTGTCAAGATATCATGATTTATTTTCAACATATTTAGATGTCTCCTTCACTGAAGTTTTGGGTAGGGAAAAAACTTTAGCCTCATCTCTTGGAGCAATGTCATTGCCTTCAAAAAACAGGTTTCCTGGGGTACAAAACAGGGAGTAAGTGTGCCTTCCAGACCCCGGTGTGAGGATTCCTGAGTTCCACCTTCCCACAGGATTCTCAATACTAAGTGCTGTGGTTCCTGAATCCCTTAATTTGTATCTGGTGTAGGTTATCCTTTATGCCATAAGGGCAAGCCTGAGCTCATCAGTGGAATTTTCACCATTGGTCTCATTATTATTGGTCTTACTAAAAGGAGAATCTAAAAGGCAGCAATCGAGGCAGGCTGCATGTCATACACTAAGAGCTGTCATATATGTGATATAGATAAGATCTGCATTTCTTTAAGTGTAAATTAGATGTGGAAAATCTCAAAGGCTGTTGTGATCCCCCCATATGTTTTGACTGGAAGAAGGAGTGACCCTTCAGCCCTGCTCTAGGAATGCAGAAGACCTAGGTCATCCTGCTGGTGCTGCATAGCCACTGTCAGGACTTGCTCCCAGGACCACAGGAGACGTTACATCCCATGGACCTTACTTTGTATGTAAAGTAGGTTTGTATTCTCCTGTGAAGCTCTTCATGATCTATGCTGTCAGGTAGCACATGGTCTACTGGAGGTCCTAATACTCACTATGTTTTGTAGAAACTCAGACGAGGCTCTTTGAACTTGATCTTGCACTTGCAAACCTGGGTTTGCTCCAGCTCTCTTGCGGGCTTCCTGTGTGGCATTTGGAAATGTGTTTATTCATCCTGCACCTCAGTTCTCTCGCCTAGAAAAATGGGAACCGTATTCTTATCTCCCAAGGGACTGTGAGGCTAAATTGTTATGGACTGGGAACCAGTGAGGTCCAGTGAGGAACAGAGACATTATTTCAGTCTCTCTGAATGCTATATGCAAGTCAGATGCTTTTATCGATGTAATACAAAAGCAGATGTGTGAGATGAGCAGATACATTTTGTAACATTGCCTTTTACTGTGCCTGCATTTTTCTTCTCTTTGCATAAAATTATGACCTTTTAAATATCAAATAGACTATATGTTATTACAGAACAGTTGTTCCGTTTCTTCTGAGAAACCAATATGTTTTCCATTATATTCACCAGGTGCATTCTATAAAGGGGGCGTTTATGGTAGAATCGTATATATTTCAATAAAAGCTTAGTAGTTTTATGTTAGAGAGAGGTAGCCCTGAAACTAAAACCATACATTTCAGCTTCACTGAAATCAGGTTTTGGTGGGTTTTTTTTGTCTGAAACAAGGTAAACCCTCAAACGGGAACAAAACATATTGGGCATTATACAGGCTTTAGAGAGTCACTTAAGACTTAGGGGTGGAAAAAAAAAATCATCATTTAGATGGGATTAGGGAAAGTTAAAAAACATAATAAACCCCCATAAAAATAGGCAAAGAGTTATATACTATTGCAAAACCTGGAAATATATATCCATGGCCTCCACTTTTACAATTTGGAATCTTTCTTGGGAAAATGGTTAATTAAAGCTAAGCCATTGAAATGGTAATTTACAGCCCTGTTTGGAGCAGAAGCCTGGAACAGTAAATTCTGAAGCAAGGCCGTGCATCACAGAGTTGCAGCACAAAACTACTGTATAGACACTGCTGGAAAAGCTCATCTTCTGCTGTCTTGTGTCTATTAATCCAGTGTCTCTGTGTATACAATTCAAACCATTTTACAAATATTTGTCATTTGTAGGAGGAGGCATTGCCAAGACCTATCTTGGTTCTGCAACCATAAATAAAGTGTCCCAACACAGAGCTCTGAATTTAAAACAAACTGCTTGAAGAAGCTGTGTACAAACTATCTTCTACAAAGTATGAAGAAGCCTCCAATCTTAATCTTTGATATTGAAAAATCTAAAGAAGAGCTAAAGATTTTGGTTCCTATTTATTTTCTGTGACTCCTGTATAAGTGTTTTTACCATCACAGATTTATTCAGGGATCTTGTTTCATCCCTTCTTTAAACCCGCCTCACTCTCAGTATCTTGGAGATTTGCAGGTGAATGCTAAAATAGGTGGTTAACTTCTGTCAGGGGGTGTTTTGTTCTCATGTCCTCTTCCATCAGGAGAAACAAGAGAAACTGTCTCAAAAAGGCATATCTGTTACTTATTGAGACCATCCTTGGCAGGTAAGAGCCAAAACACTCCTGAAAGGGGGATACAAACTCTACAAATCTGTGCAAGAAACTCCCACCTGTAAAAGGAGTTGAAGTTTTTCCTATACATAAATTATCTCATGAGCATTTGCTGTGTGTTTCTTGCATTTTCACCTGCAGCTCCTGGAAGGGGCTGCTGTTAGACATAAGGTAACTCCACAGGTGATCAGGTGTTGAACCGTCATGATGAGTTCATCATTACACTGCACTGGCACTTCAGGCTGATCTAAATGGCAAGCATTGAGTATTAGTCTAGAAATAAGTCAAGATACTGTCTTTGACTCATGCCAGGCATGAGATGTGGTGACCACAGCAGTTGATCCTTTACAAAGTTATTTCCCTTTGGAGAAGAAAAACCTGTTTCCCTGCTATTTATAAAGCAGAGCCAACACTGGCACATCTGCACTGTCTGTAAGGAGCAGATACTGGAATAAATTGTTCCCTCGGTCACACTGAGTACTTTTTCGGTTTTTATTCTGGAAAGTGTGGAGATCTCTCCAAACAGGAGCCCAGAAGCAAGCCAGAATGCACTCAGTGACAGTCAGAAGCCAAAGATCTGGAAGTGAACAAAACGAAGGGCATTTTGGGTTTAGGGTTTTTGGGGATGAGTGGAACTACATATTGCCTCCTGATGCTGTCTGTGATCATTTTCTCTGCTGATTTTGATCTCTGCTGATTTTGATCTCTGCTGAACTGAGGATTGGCTTTCGGGATAGTTTGCTGTTCCACATCTGCAGAAATATTGCACAATATTAGCTTTCAGCAGCCTTGGGCCAGCATGCCCCTTGTGCGCCTGGTGCATTCTGCTGGCCTTGAACTGTGACTGCAAATAATGAATCTGTGTTGACTCAGTGTTTATTTCTGATAAGTCTCAGCCCTCCTCCCCTTTTCTTTATGCCAAATACCTAAATGTTTTCTCAAAGTCTTTAGCCAAGTCACATCCAAACAAAATGACTCTGCTGTTAAACTTGTCCCAATACTATGTGTATTTCTATGAAAGCAGTCAGAAGTTCACTGCAATAAGAAGTATCACTGCAGTAGGTAAGAAAATTGGTCTGTCAGGTACATTTCAGTGCTGGGCACATACACATGCGTCTTATCCTTGTTATTTTCTTGCTTTCTTCAACTTTCATTTCAAATACAGGAAAGCAACGCCGTCCAGTTCCTACTGAATTCACCTTCTGTATAGTTGAAGTGTTGAAAAGGGGCATTTTAGCATAAAAATGTATAGCACTGTATGATGATGGATGTCTTTGAAAGGGAGAAGCTGGGAGTCCTTGTGCTCCCTTGAGGCAGATGGGGTGGACTGCGCAGCAGCAGGGCTGGAGGTGGGAGGCCAGGGGAAAACACACCACTGTAATCTCTGCCTGAACTGGGACCAGTCTGACTACTGGCAGCCACTGTGATACAGGAGCAGGGAAATTCACATCTTTTCCCTTGGGATGCTGGGGATGCTGCAAACCCATGGTGACTCAGTCAGCTGAGGCTGCTTTCAAACGATGCTTTGAATAAGAAACAAGAAAGGTCTGACCAGAACTGATTCAAATTTCTGCTCTATTTGACCCAGGCCAGCATTTTCATCCCAGGTCACTGAATTAGGAAGAAAAAGGATTAATTCTGATTCTCCACATTCCTAGACAGCCTTTAATAGTTGAGCTTCCCTCTGCCAGCCTGTCCCAAGCCCTTCCAGCTATGAACTGACATCACAAAATGTTTCATCTCTGACCAAGCCTCCTTTCTGGGAACAGAGGAGAGGGATCATTGCAGCCACCTCTGGCTGCAGCTTCTGACTCACCACAGGACAGATGCTGATACCCTTTCCCATCAAGCCTGCACTGTTTTAGACTCACTCCACTGCCTGAAATAGAGCTATCAAAGTTTCTTGGCTTTCTTTCCTTCCTCTCCTCTCCACAAAAAGTCTGGATCCTCATTTGAGATACAGGAGAAGATTCTGAGTCCAGCACAGATCTGTGTGGCTATGATTTATATCAAGAGCTGCAGATGCGCTTTTTAAAATAGGCTTAAAAATTACTCCCACTAATAGAGATTAAATATTGATTACCTAAGTAATAGCTCTGTCTGCAATAGGAAATAGATGTGTAGCAACCCCCACACATCAGTCAGTCACACTGTCTGAGGAAACATGGTACCAGATAAAATACAGGGTGTTAGCAAATACTTCTCTAAAACCATCCTCATCTTCTACATAGATGCACAT